CAAGTTAAAGGATGTGTGTCATAACATTTTAACATTCACGGAAAAGTCAGTATAATAACAGGCATATTTTCAAGGGCAAACCTATAATTATATTTTTTTTTATACTTTCATAGAGAGAATGAAGAAATTATCTATTGAAACCAGAATCAGTTATATTAGGCACAGATGGATCGTAAGATAATGTAAGTATATTGTCATTTATAATAATTATTGGGTTTTTTTTCATTTGCACCTTTTAGCTCACCTGAGCTGTAAGCTCAAGTGGTCACATTTGTTCAGTGTTCGTCTGTTTGTCCAATTTTAAACTTTTTGACTTCCTCTCCAGAAAAACTAGGCCAATTTCAACCAAAAGTGTTACATAGCATCCCTGGGCAAAGGAAATCCAAGTTTATTCATAGAAAGGTCACACAATCTTTCAAGAGGGAGAAAACCTAGTGAAAATTTAGTGGCATCTTTAAAAAAAAAAAACAGAACCACTTGGCCAGATAAGTTGAAACTTATGTGAAACTTTAATTACATAGTGTAGATCCAGTTCTGTTCAAATTTTGACCTTTTTGGGGTAGGGTGGGGCCAAAAAGGGCAATCAAAGTCTTACATAGGGATAGGAAAAAGAAAATCTTTAAAAATCTTCTTCTCTAAAACAGCAAGACCTTGATCAGTCATATTGATATGGAAGAACCCTCAGGTATGTAGATTTAAATTTATTCAAATCACGTGTCTTAAAATAAATTGTGTGAAGCGTCCTAATTCATGTCCTTATGAATTCTTAAAAGTTGAATTCATTTCTTAAATGAACTCATTGTATCTTAGTGTTCCAATAACAAGCAAAATTATAAATGGTGTGCAATATATTTCATAAGAAAATCGAAATTCGCAAGTCTTGTAGATACAAGCTGGGTTTAGTGGGGCTAAAATATGGAAGCAAATTTTACGGCTACATAAGTCATATTGCTATCCAGCATATGCATGTTGTGAGTGGATTCAAGTATGCATAAGTCATGGGCTCTTGATGCTTGGGTACAGCCCTGGTAAGAACATTTTTCATGGGAATATAGATTAAAATGTTTTTTCAAAAACTTCTTAAAGAAAAGAGCATTGCATAGGTGGCTCAGGTGCGCAGTGTGACCTATGGAACTCTTTCTTATTAATTTTTTTTCTTTTAATTCATAAATTTGAATCCAAAGTAATATTTTAATTTTACTCAGATTAAAGGGAAAAAAACATCCTTTGAGATTGTTAATTTTTCTCCATTTAAGGAAATGTAGTTTAGCTCACCTGAGCTGAAAGCTCAAGTGAGCTTTTCTGATCACCCATTGTCCGTCGTCCGTCCGTCCGTCCATCTGTATACTTTTCACATTTTCAACTTCTTCTCAAGAACCACTGGGCCAATTTTAATCAAACTTGGTACAAAGCATTCTTAAGTGAAGGGAAGTTTAAATTGTAAAAATGAAGGACCAAGACGCCTTCCAAGGGGAGATAATCAAGAAAAGACAAAAATAGGGTGGGGTCATTAAAAAATCTTCTTCTCAAGAACCAATGGGCCAGAAAAACTGCAACCTACGTGGAAGCATCCTGGGATAGTGTCGATTCTAAATTGTTCAAATCATGACCCTGGGGCTAGGGTGGGGCCACAATAGGGAATCCGAGTTTTACATTGAAATATGTAGAAAAAACCTTTAAAAATCTTCTTCTTAAGAACCACTGGGCTGGAAAAGCTGGAACTTAAGTGGAAGCATCCTGGGGTAAAGTAGATTTTAAATTGTTAAAATCATGACCCCCGGGGTTAGGGCAGGGCCACAATAAATACTACAAGGTGGGAAATAGGTGAAAAACAACAAGGCCAAAGTTACTCAGGTGAGCGTACTGGCCCATGGGCTTCTTGTTTAATATTGTTTTTAATTTTTGAAGTTTTTACACAGAAGTCAGATTCTAATGAGAGACTGTGATTTCCAGGGAGTCAAGACACACACATGACTGAGACAAGTGAGATGACACAAGCCATCAGCATTATGGGTCTCTCTGATTATGTTCCGAAAAGTACCGTTTGAGATGATTTCTTTGAATGCTGTGACATGGGCATTGCCTTATCAAGAAACAGATGAAAATTAAATGGATTGAAGATTTCATTGAATGAGGAATGACTACTCAATTAAAAGAAGAGAAATATTGAATTTAAGACAAATTATGTAAAGGTTAAACCTAAACAAACAAAAAACAAAAAACAAAAACAAAAAACAAAAAACAAAAAAAAACAAAACAAAACAAAAAAAAAAAAAAAAAAAAAAAAAAAAAAAAAAAAAAAAAACAAACAAACAAAATCAAAAACAATTCTCATACATAAATTGATCATGTTTTGTTTGAATTTTCATAAATAGTTCATTGGAGTGTTACCAACATTTTTTGATAATTTAAGGATTACAAAATGTCTGTTCAGCTCTGTTGCTGTTGACCACTTTGGTTGCTATACACAGATTACATAACTGATGCAGAAAATTGACTATGTTTTTATAATTCATAAGTGATGAAGCTTAAATATCTTGTTTTCTGTATATAAATACATATTCTCCTTCATTTTTTTGTCAGTGTTTTGAAAATATATCGGTTACTATGCAGCAAAATTGGTTACTAAGGGAACATTACATAATTATTTCAACATTATATCACTTTATTTATTGATGTTGCAAGAGTATATTAGCAAATATACATGAAATTATGTAATGGACCCTTAACCATCAATTCGGAAGAAATTGAAGGTTTTTTCCCTTAAAAATTGATGTGTTTTTAACCTTTATTGGCGTAAAAACTTAAAAATTAACTGTTGCTATGGACATCATTTGGTTGCTATGCACAGAATATGATTGATACTGAAATTTAAGTATGTTTTATTATTCCTAAGTGAAATAAAGCTTGTTGATTTATTTTTTTTTATATGTAAATACATGTTCTCCTTTATTTTTTGACACAATCTCTTGAAAATGCCTTGGTTGCTATGCAATAAAATTGGTTGCTATGGGCACATTACAGGATTTTTATCTCATAATATTACTATATTTATTGATAATGCAAGAGTATGATAGCAAATATACATTAACAATTATCAATTGGGAAGAAACTGAAAGTTCTCCTTAAAATTTGCTGTGTATTTTTAATGTTTCTTAAGAGTAAAAACATAAAATTTAACCGTTTTTTCCACAAAAACAATAAAAATGCTTCTCAATTTTATATGCCATTCTTGAATATCAACCTGTATTGTGTAAGAATAAAATTCATTTTAATGTTCAGCTTGTTGTAGATTTTACATATATAAGTTTAAACTTGAGAGGTAATTTTCAATTTTTCAAACTGTAAAACTGTACAATATTTGTGTTGCCATGGCAACCGATGCCTAGGTATTTAGATTTGCTTTTAAACTTTTTTGTATACTATGCATCTTTAATAATTAGCATAAAGTCTGTTGTAGGTGATATCTCTATTGTTTTTGTAAAAATATTCTTTAAAAAAAGTTAAAATTGAAGTGTTTTTTCTTAACTTATGTTGGTTTCCATGGCAACACATAATAAGGGGAAAAAATAATAGTTTCGTTGATCAAGCATCATTTTCATGTATGTGAAAGTTGTGTACTATGAACACTTTTTACAACCAATAAAAGAAAACAGGAGGTTAAAATTTAAAGTTTCCATCTGAAGCTTGATGATTCGTGACATTCTCTCTTAAGTATGGGTTCCTAGCTAGTTTTACATGCAGCCTGCACATAGAGTTATTTTGTGCAATGAAATATTTTATGCTGGTCCTAAATTATGTATTAAATTAACTGTCATGGATTCTATCATCATATGTGATAAATTTAGCTAAATAAATATATTCAGAAAGTTCTCGAAAAAAATATAGCCCAATTTAAGCTTAAAATTAACTCTATTTAAGTAATATCTAAAAATGAACATCACAGATCCACACTTTTAATTTTCTTTTCTGAATTTATAAGATAATTTTAACCATTCTGCTTGAAAATTCAGAAAAAATGTCATTACTTTCAAACGATTTTATTGCTTGTTGACTTTTTAATGCCAGAAAAATAACATTTTTTGAGTGCAGAAAGTTATAATGATTGACTATGCGGAGTAATTTGAAACTTTTTTGTTGTCACAAATTTTAATGTGAGTATTGAAGAGGAAAAATAAAGACTGCGTTTGTTCCCATAATTTATTTGGATAAAAAATATTTGAAGAAAAACTGATTGATTTGTTAGACGTTATAACAGTGCTAAAAGGTAATATTAAATGCTCCATGCGCATAAGAAGAGCATTAAGCCCCATTTTTTGTTTTGATTTTTAATTAAGCTATGTGTGTAGATTCTAAAAATATAATTAATACATGTAAAAAAAAAAATTCTTAATACGTTTGAGAACAGGATCAAACCTCCTTAAATAGATAATTATGTGAAAACGCTAAATTGTCAACGTTTATGTAGACGTCTCATTTTTTAAAATGAATTGTAAGAAAATTGCGTTCAAATTTACATGTAAATCATATACGATACCAATTTTGATGCACCAGATGCGCATTTCGACAAATTACGTTTCTTCAGTGATGCTCAAGCCGAAACGTTGGAAATCCAAAATATTTAATTAAAAAGACTTGGAAGAGCTGAAAAAGATGCCAAAAACTGGAGCCAAATACCTCTAAGGATCAGAGCTATGCATGAGGGAGATAATCCTTTTTTTTAAAATAAATTTACAAATATTACCACAGCATTTAGATATATGTTCTATTTTTTTCGACTAACCGATTACAGATTTTCTAACCGACTACAATCGTTCCGACCGAATAATCGGTTATCTAGATGCAAATTGCCTTTCCTAATAAAAATATTGCTGAAAAAGTGTTATACAAAACGGAACATGCAAATAAAATATAAATTCGTAAATACTAAGCTATAATTTATCTCAGCTCAATTCTCTAAATATTTTGTTCAACCTTTTCTTCATTATTTTTGTCTCAAGCATTGGATACAAACCAGTCAATAGTGAAGACCCAGGTCTTTGAATTACTGTCAGCGCTGTGTTTGAAATCAAGCGATGGATACATCCTCACTCTTTATGCTCTAGACAGCTATAAGGTATACCCGTATCATAAAATATTCTTCCATTTATTCATTTTGCTATTAAGTGTTCGAACCTTGACATAATTCTTGTCTGTATTGTGAAGAACTATGAACACAAACTCTCGATTTTATACCTTTATACCCATTTAATTCATCTGGCCATTTAATTCGTTTAAATGACAAGAAACGGTCATTAGTAATGATAAATAATTTTTAAAACAGGTCAAATAGTTAATTGCTCTAATTTATGTCTTCTCATAGGAGGGATAGACAATTTTATCCATTAAAATCAGGCTTTAAAACATCACTAGATTTTCAAATACTCATGGAAAATGAAATAATGACCCTTTAATCATTCTTCATGTTTGATTTATGTAATATTCAACATACACTGTATATGATTGATAAAGCTATTATTTTTTTAATTTGTAATCTCATTTGAAATTTATAATAAAATAACTTTTTTTGTTGTTCCTTGTCTGTAAACATGTTTCCCTTCCCTCTCCCTCGTGAAACAACAAATTCTTTGGTATGTATTGTGAAATAACAATTCATAATACGTGTAAAGAAGAATTTTTATTTCAGGGGAGAGAGCCTTTAAAAATCTTTTCCGTTTTCCTTTGATTTCTATAGTGAAAAAAACCCACATGTTTTACCAAAATAGTAGAGTCGCCTTTCTTTGTTTTCCCAAATAAGTTATGAAAATTTACATAAATCTGTACATAAATATGAAAATTCATTTAAATATGTTAATTCTGAAAACTGACTTAGCTTGGAGGTAGGCGGCAGAAAAATATGATCGCTCTTAGTTCTTTGTCTTTCAATCCTTGTCCGTTATTGTTAATTATAAAAATAAGTGTTTCTTTAAAAAAAAAACAAAATCCAAACGAAAACCAAAATCAAAGCAAAACATGTGTCACAACAATTCCCTAACTACGCGAAATCAGCATTGTTCCCAAAGATGGGAGCATGGGCGAAAACAGATAAACAAAATGTGCATTAATAACTTTGTTATGAAGGCAAAAAAGTTAAAACATTCCAAACTCAAAAAAGTACTTTTCAGCAAAGTCAAGGCTGACATTTGTTTTTCAGATAAAGAAAAACCAAAGATATCGCTTCAGTGTTATAATGGATGAACTGGAAAAGGCAGATTTGGTTTCCTACAGAACTACATTGATGGGTTTTGTCAATTGTATCATTTTGGCTAATGAAGAATTGCAGGAGAGAGTAAGAATCCGCAATGAATTTATTGGTAGGTAAAGGAATACCTCTGCACAGTGCTTTTACAAAGCTCTGTATTATTTTATTATTATGTATGGGGTGGGCTACCTTACAGAAAATTTTGGTCTTTCTTCTTTCAATCACAGGTTGATTGTTTACATGTCGAAAATTTATATTGAAACCAAATAGAGTTTAACATATAAAGGAAACGATAGGAGAACCCCTGATATCTTGATTTCCATATAACCCCAGTTTTCAAAATTTGGGATACATGGCTTCTTTTCACGTTTCTAAATGAAAATGGTGAAAATAAAGAAATGTATGAAACATATATAAACAACATATTGAAAATCGATGTCCAACACTAAAACTGCATTTAAAAAATGCATATTTTAATCTTTATTTAGGATTAAACTGTCTGGGTATTATCAACGATCTACGAAAGGAAGACGATGAGGATATGATGGTTCAGTGTGAAGTTTTTGACAAAGAGAAGGCGTCAGATGATGAAGAAATGGCGACCTTATACCGGACATGCATCGATATTAACAATGCCAAGGAGGTTTTCAATGCTCTTTATCATAAGGTTAACATACATATGTTGTATTAATTTTCTATATATTATATTCTTTTCATCTTTCAGTTGACATTTTTTTTTTCAATTATTCTAGGAATCTCTTGTAATTTTCAAAAAAGAAAAAAAAAATCTTAGCGAACAGGAAAAGACCATATCCTTAAAAAAATTCCTTAAAAATAAATCTGCTAAAATTCTCTTTAAATTTTTTTCCTAAAAAATCATGTCTGCGGGTATGTTAAGGAAGCATACAAATCGTTCCTCGGGAAATTTAGACTTTTTAAAGAAAATTAAGTTTGATAATTTATCAAAGTCGCCGATAAACTTATATTAACTAATGCAGAAAGACAACAGAGTGTCTGAGGCCAAGAAATGCACCATCACGACGTCATCACGTGACTGGTATTACATGTAATAGCAAAAATTTCCTTAATAAAAAAGTTAACAGAGCAACAATACCCCGGGGTTTGATAATTTCTTTGAGTAAACTGAAAACTAGAAAACTTGTGTTCTACAATTGACGTCATCTCGCCTACTATGACGTCATATTGTATCACTGACTTAGTCTAGTCAGATTATCTTAGTGCTTCCTTAACACCTGCGTCGTTGAAATAACCTGATTGTAGCCCCGAAACAATCTTATTCTATTTGATGTTCTTGAGCTGCAGCATGATACTTGAAGGTATTTAACGGAATGAAAATATTTCAAGTGCGGGAGACATAAATTAGATCTCAAAACAACCTTGAATCTTTGACATTTGTTTTCCTAGCTTGGTTATTGAAATAATGTTTTGATTAAAATGCGTTTCGATTCTTCACTGCTAAGGAGAATAATCAAATGTTTCAATTTAAAAACATATCGTAGTCAACTTACAAACCACTAATGATGAATGCTGATTTGAATGTTTTTCTTCTCTAGATGTACCTTAAATTTCCAAACATAATGTAGTGAGTCAATGTGATCTATTCAGATAAAGACAGACCTAGTTATATCAGTGCAAAAATGAAATTTGAATATTTCAGTATTCTTAATTTTTAAAGCTGATTTCTTTTGTTTGAATAACCAGGGGTCGTTAATTAAATTCTTTATGATTGTTATCAGGTTTACAACACACCATTTGCGGAGGTGCTTCTTAATATTATGCTATTTCTTCTACAAAGTCAGACGGAAAAATCACCCAGGTATAGAAAGAGTTTTGCATCTTCATGAGTGTCTTTGTTTACTATCATAACTATTAATTTTATAAACAATCAGCTTAAAGGGACAAAAACTGCTTCCAGTAACTGTCTTTGATATATCAATATGTTATGTCTTATTTAACATTGGAAACATAAGCACAATTGTAATTCTTCTTCCCAAAATATCATAGTTTCACAAATGCTTCAATTTTTAAGACAACTTGCGTATACGTTCATCTTTTACAATAAACTTATTGACTACTTAAGTACTAACAGTACCATTTGCGAATAACCCGAGACTAAATTTTCAGTATAAAGCAATGGAAAAAGGTTGAAGATTCCGTGAAGGAGGCATTTCTGAGATGTGAAACACAAGTCACCCGAAGTGGAAACCACGTATCACAACCCCCTCCCCCTCCTCCACCAGTGCCAGATCCAAACTTTAGAGGAGTCGGTAATATTTGTTCTCGCACTCCCAAACAAAAAATGAAAATAGTCGATTGGACAAAGATCCCTGCCTCTTGTATTTCAGGTAAATGAAAGTAAGGTATATCAGTCTGGACATTTTTTTTTCTTGGGGGATCAGTAAACTCTTTTTTTCTCTTAAGTTTTGAGAATAAAATGAAAGAGTACTTTTCTTGAAACGACAATGACAGAAATGTGGATGATGCTGGTAATATCAAAGTGCCTACACCATCTGGATTAATATTTTTAGCTCACCTGAGCTGAAAGCTCAAGCGAGCTTTTCTGATCACCCGTTGTCCGTCGTCCATCCGTCCGTCCGTCCGTCTGTAAACTTTCACATTTTCAACTTCTTTTCAAGAACCACTGGGCCAATTTTAACCAAACTTGGTACCGAGCATCCTTGGGTAAAGGGAATTATAAATTGTTAAAATGAAGGGCCAAGCCCTCTTCAAAGGGGAGATAGTCAAGAAAATACAAGAATTGGGTGGGGTCATTAAAAAATCTTCTCAAGAAACACTGAGCTAGAAAGACTGAAACTTATGTGGAAGCATTCTTGGGTAGTGTAAATTCTAAATTTTTAAATCTTGACCCCCGGGGTAGGGCGGGGTCACAATAGGGAGTCCAAGTTTTACATTGAAATATGTAGAAAAAAATTTTAAAAATCTTCTTCCCAAGAACCACCGGGCGAGAAAAGCTGAAACTTAATTGGAAGCATTCTTGGGTAGTGTAAATTCTAAATTGTTCAAATCTTGACCCCCAGGGGTAGGGTGGGACCACAATAGGGAATCACAAGTTTTACATTGCAATATGTAGAAAAAAGATTTTAAAAACTTCTTCTCAAGAACCACTGAGCCAGAAAGACTGAAACTTATGTGGAGGCATCCTGGAGTAGAGTAGATTCTAAATTGTTCAAATCATGATCCCCAGGGGTAGGGCAGGGCCACAATTAAGAATCTTAGTTTTACATGGAAATATGTAGAAAATATCTTTAAAAATCTTCTTCTCAAGAACCACCGGGCCAGAAAAGCTGAAACTTAAGTGGCAGCATCCTTGGGTAGTGTAGAATCTGAATTGTTCAAATAATGACCCCCTGGGGGTAGGGTGGGACCACAGTAGGGAATCACAAGTTTTACATTGCAAAATGTAGAAATTTTTTTTTAAAAATCTTCTTCTCAAGAACCACTGAGCCAGAAAGACTGAAACTTATGTGGAGGCATCCTGGAGTAGAGTAGATTCTAAATTGTTCAAATCATGATCCCCAGGGGTAGGGCAGGGCCACAATTAAGAATCTTAGTTTTACATGGAAATATGTAGAAAAAATCTTTAAAAATCTTCTTCTCAAGAACCACTGGGCCAGAAAGGCTGAAACTTATGTGGAGGCATCCTGGGGTAGTGTATTTTCTTAATTATTCAAATCATGACCCCCTGGGGGTAGGGTGGGGCCACAACAGGGAATCCAAGTTTAACATTGAAATATGTAGCAAAAATCTTTAAAAATCTTTTTCTCAGAAACAACTGGGCCAGAAAAGCTGAAATTTATGTGGAAGTATCCCAAGGTAGTGTAGATTATAAATTGTTCAAATCATGACCCTAAGGGTAGAGCGGGGTCACAATAAGTACTACAAGGGGGGGGGGACGGGTGGAAAAACAGCAAGCCCAAAGTTACTTAGGTGAGCGCCGTTGCCCATGGTCCTCTTGTTCATATTTTTACCCTGGATATGTCATATTTTCACAAATAGATGAAGATTTCCCCTCAAGGATAGCAACAAACACTTAAACCTTATGTTTCACTTTTTGGCCAAAAGAGACACTGGAATTTTTTTTTTTTTTTTTTTTTTTTTTTTTTGAAGATCTTGCACGATTGCTTTTATCTCTGCAACTAGTACATATTTAAATCGAATATGGTTTTTTCTTTAATCAGACTCAATAATCATCATGAGGGTGCATTAACTGTATTGAGCACCATGAATCTTTTATACTTCTTTTTCCTTAGGTATGGTTGATGTTAAACGTCATTTTCTGTTAATCAAAACGTATGTACAGCTAAGCTGGTTATCATTGTCAAGATTAATTAAATACAGTCGGGGCTTGGCCATCCGGTCGCTTATATTTCCTGGATTAGGTCTCTGGATTAATGATACTTTTTTATATTTGGTTTATATACAAATATATATTTTTGTTCCAAACAAATGTCTTTCGGATGGTGAAGCTTTTGTGGTGAAGGTGAATGATTTTTTTAAGGATGAAAGAGTCTTCACTTTATAAACATGTACATGTATATTATTTCTATTGATAATAATTTTTAAACTTGTTATAATTTTGATAGCTTCAGATCAAGAAAATGTTTGGAAGAAAGTCGGGTACATGGAGGATCGAATCAAAGTGAACCATGAAACCTTAGAACAGCTATTTTGCTCAACAGAAGATAAAGCAATTAAAACAAGGCAATCGAAGGAGGTAAGAATATTGTATGAAATATATGGAGATAACGAAATTGTTCGAGCTCAAAAGTCCATTAAACATAACAAAATAGAAGCAGAGCAAACCTCTAAGACATCAGAGGTGGGATCAGGTGCCATGGTTTAGTGAGCATCCCCTGCCGACCGGTCACACCCGCCGTGTGCTCGTTGTCATGATCTGGAAATAACGGGAAAATACGTCGACAATTTAGTGTGTAAATAATGGTCAATAGGTATGAAAAACGTAAGTCAGTATTTGACTTAGTGAAAGATTTTATTTGCTGACAAGGTCATTGTATGTATTTAATGGAGTTGCAGATAGAGTACTAGAGTATTAGGAGAAAATTAGCTTTTTATATATGATATCAGTTTTTAAATGCTGTGATAACAAGTAATAGTTTAGTGAATTATCCTAAATGGCATTTCTAATAGATATTTCTTCTTGATCCGAAACGGAGTATGCAAGTCAACATCTTTCTGAGCCATGTTAAGCATAGTCACAATGAGATCATCTCTATGATTGAGGGGCTATCAATAGGCAGAGAGCATCTACTTGGTTTGCAGAAGATTCTTCCGAATGAAAATGAGGTGACAAATTAATTTGTTATATTCAAAAGAATGTAATTCCATGGCTAAACAACAATTATACATATCTATGTGTCAAATGAAGACAAATATATAATATAACGTACCCCACTGACTACAACATTGAAGTATTTTCCCTATATGACTGAAACCCTTTATATGCACCAAATATTCTTGACTATTCAAAAAATATTGTCAAAAAACGACCATAAGTATAGATATTCTCTTCTCAATGAAATTGAAATAGTTCATAGATAATATTTATCTCTGATTCATCCCAACTGTGTCTCAGCTATGTAGAATATAAAACCATCCCATCTCAGCGTATTTGGCTCCAGTCCTTTTTTCAGCTCTTCCAAGTCTTTTTTTTTTTTTTTATTTAAATATTTCGGATTTCCAAGGTTTGGGCTTGAGCAGCTCTGCTGGTGGACTTTTAGTCCCCGAGGGTCTCTACAGTAAATTAATACTTCGTTACTAGCTTAAAAATATGGATATATATTTAATTGCTGTGGTAAAATTTCAAAAATTATTTCAAAGTTAAGGATTATTTCCCTCATGCATAGCTATGATCCTTCAATGTATTTGGCTCCAGTCTTTCACACCTTTTTTTCAAACTATTCCAAGACTTTTTTATTTGAATATTTTGGATTTCCAACGTTTTGGCTTGAGCATCACTGAAAATATATAATTTGTCGAAATGCGTATCTGGTGCATCAAAATTGGTACGGTATATGATTTACATGCTATATTTAGTTATGAGCTCATTTATTATTTGTAAAATTATAATTAATATTAGAACTAAATTTAAACTAAGTTATTCAATGAAACAAATGGTATCAATTGAGTGTATTCCTACTGATATTTGTTTTGAAAATAGACTTGTCGTCTGTTCTAGCAGGATTCAATACGTCAAGGGGTCATAGATTTCCCCATCAATTTATTTGTTAACACTATGTCTTGTACAATAAAACGGGGAAATAAGGATGCATTTTTGGGACCTCCTTTTTCAATTCCGTATGACATATCTTTCTTTTTATTCATATCTTATAAAAAATGTTAAATTTTACATCCCTTTTACCAAGATTCAGTTATGACAGATTCTCTGGTAAGCAAGCTTTACTGTTTAAAATATAATGTATAACAAAGTATAATTTTTCAGGTTGCAAAGCTAAAAAATTTCGATGGAGACACAGGAAAGCTTGGAAATGCAGAGAAATTTTACCTAAAACTTATCCAGTTACCTGGCTTCGATACCCGTATTAAAGTACTTGTTCTCAAAGAGCAGGCTTGTGATAAAAAAGACATTCTTCCAAAAATCAAGGCTTTTGAGCGAATTTGCCAACAATGGTTGAAGAACGAGTCCCTTGAGTTTTTGAGAATCCACATCTGATTTACCCCACTTTAGAATATGCTGTAGCACAATACGTCTGTAGTTTATCCTTTACTCTGGTTAATACTTTGTAAGGAGTAAAGACAGGGGCTTGGTAGGGCATTTGCTGGACCCAGAATATATCTCTGTTTAATGCATTATTTAAGGACCAGTATTTTTATTTGGATACATTAAACTGAGTTATTTGTTACCATTTTTTTTTTTTACCTTTACGATTTTATGATTCAAACTTTCTTTCACACGTATCCTCCCCACCTGTATTTCTGTATTTTTGTCACAATTGGTCTAAAATAATTGTCTTTTTACAAACAATTTAAATTGATATTTTATTCTTCTACCTTTACTTAAAAGATAAAAAAAAAAAAGATAATTATTATCTCTATAATTATTTACTGCAGAAAATTGACCAGAGTGATCTTTACAGCTATTGTCGATTTCAGTACTAGTACTGCTAGATCTGCTTCCTGCCTTCTCCCGTGGATAGTTTAATATCCACATTGTCGTTCATGTAAAAATATATTCAAAAATAGCATTTAGTTGAACAAATTCTATAGCATAAAGTTCAACGACCTGATTAAGCCGTAGTAGTCGCACATTCTTACACATAGCAGGTGTGAGTCCCAAATTTTTAATACGACATTATGTTTTTTTTTTAGTTTTGTTTGTTTGTTTGTTTTTGTTTGTTTGTTTTTTCTGCTTTTTTTTTTTTTGTTTGTTTGTTTGTTTGTTATTTTTTTGTTTTTTGTTTTTGTTTTGTTTTGTTTTGTTTTGTTTTTAAAGATGCAAATTGCAATTCATGGGAATTAATTTTAATATTTTACGAAAAAGTTGTTATGTGTTCTTCATTCCATATCCTGACTAATCTCATGATTGGTACATTTTTATGACCATATATTATCTAAAACAATCTCAATATCAATCTGATTTGGATAACTTTAACAAATAATTTGTTATCGAATTCCTTATACTTTTTTATATTTTTTTCAAAATAAAAAAAATATCTAAAAACATATATTTTTTAAAAAGTTTTTGCCCCCCCCCCCCATTTTTATCTGGTGATGCAACGCTTAATTGCTAGTGCATATGTGCATATTTTGTAGACATTATGTCGTCTTTAAAGAGGTGATTTTTTTGTTGTTGTTGTTTTAACAAAGTAATTAGAAAATCACTGATATGTTATTATATCCATTTAATATAAATATATGTTCATCTTTAGGGTGGTTACGCTGGAAATGCCAAGGGTTTCAAAAAAGAATCCTTAAATAAACTGATTGTCATCAAAACCACAGATCCGAATGTCACCCTGCTTTATTATCTAGTTGAAGAAGCTGAAAAAGAAATAACGGATGCTCTAAATTTTGTGGAAAAGATGTCAATCGATCTGGATATAGTCTCAAAGTAAGATATGTTCATCGATAGGCTAGATTATTGACTGTTGGTAAAAATAAGGAGAGAACATAAGCCATACATTTTTCTATTCTAGTTAAAGTGTAAAATGAAATTTACTCAAATATTCAAATTGTAACATGTTTTGAGAAAGATATAAGCATGTTATCACTTACGTGTATCAAATCCATCAGTGCGATTGTAATACTTGTATACTTTTACATTTATTTGTATTGACCCATGGAATGTCAATAGATGATGTGTTTATTGATGCATATTTTTAAAGCATGATTCGTAATAAAAAAAAAGACATGAAAAATAAATTATCTATATCAAGCAAATTTGCTTAATTCAAACATCCATTTTAAAGGCTGAGCGTGGACGAATTAAAGAAAGAAATAAATACGATGAAAGACAACGTAACAGTAATTAAAGAAGAAGTTGAAAAATGTCCAAATGATGTCAAACATCAACTAGAAATAATCCTTCAGGCAAGCGTGTTAGGTTCAGAAATTTCAATTTGTTTCATTATACTTGACAGAGGTAATTTTTGAAGTATTTTAGATCAGATGTTTATAATGATACCTCTCTCTCTCTCTCTCTCTCTCTCTCTCTCTCACACATAAATACACACACAAACGCAAGAAACTGCATAATGTTTTATATTGTTAAATTGTACTTATATTAAAATAAGCAGCCATTTCTAATATAGTGACTAATTATATAATCATATTAATAGGCTGCAGAAAAAGAAATGGGGCCATTATATTGTGGGATAGGTAAAATTACTGAGAGGACAAAACTGCTTGTTGACTACTTTTGTGAAAACGGGAATAGTTTCGACATTGACGAGTGTATTGATCAAGTGAAGATTTTTTGTGATTGTGTGAGACGATGTCAAAGGGTAAATTGGAAGTAGTATTTTTTTTAAAAAAGGAAATAGTACTCTGGTTTTTGCATCCATTACTAAATAAATGGATTTGAATTACTTTTAACAGGAGAATCTTGAACGAAAAGAAAAAGAAGCAAAGAGGAGACACAGCACAGAACATCAAGGAGAAAAGACAAAAAAGAGTATGTTACATTATTTATACTTTTGTTATCATAGATAGTTACTCAGTTTATTGAATTGTTTTTTCTCATTTATCAAGGTTCAACCCAGACGATGGCAGACAAGAGCCATATCATAAACCGTTTTTTAGAAGATATAAGAAGAGGATTCAAACGAAGAAAAAGGCTTTCCAAAATAACAGATGAAAATTAAAATCTTTCCTTTTTCAGTCCTGGAAATACGTGATGGAAGTAGAAGATGTAATGTAACTGCTTTTTAAACTAGAACTACAATTAACTTTGGTCAATTTGTCGTTAATCTCTTTTTATAAATTGTCCTTTCTTTAAAAGGTGAAATTTTAGATCACAATTAGATTAATAGTGTAATTGTAGAAAGCCTGTTTTGTTTCAACCTTAAACAACAAACAGACAAAAAGAAAAAAAAATTCAATTTTCGGTAATTTTCGTCTTTTATTTTAAATGTTTAATGGATTAAAATGTTCAAAAATGTATGTCACGCTCGAATAAGCACTTCATAATTATAATATTTATTTTATACACTTACACATCTAGAATATAAGAATACGAGGGTCGTTCAAAATACTTAGACAGTGTTGCTATTCATAATATCAATACTACAAAGTTAAATATATCAACACATTTTCATATGTAAAAACCATTATTTTCTCGAATTGTGAAGTTAAATTCCATTTGACTAAATGGAAATCCATCGTCGCAAACCACGGCCAAAATGTACGAACCTCCCCACTTTTGGTCGTTGTTGGGTGAGAAGAGAACATTTCGTAGCTCAATAAAATATTGACCAATGCGAGGAATGCTAGTCGGAAAATGAATTTTGAGGCGACTTTGCAATACGCAATCGCTGTTTACGTAACACTTCTTGTTTATCGCTGATTTCAATGGAAACAATTATTTTCATTGCATTAAAACGACGTCACACCTTAAAGGCGTGATTATCCATGATTACGATACTTTATGTGATTAAGCAGCCACTGGTAGGAGAGAGCTATGTGTGGGCTCCGGACCGTGGCTTGAGACGATGATTGAAATTAGTAACTACTTATTTTAATATTGACCTGTTTATCACCACGGAGCGGTCTCAACAACATCGGACTTTCATATACATTATCAAAATGACTCTTCCTATTCCCATTCATAAAAAAATGACTCCATAACACTTGACACTAAGTTTGTAAGCAATGATTTATTGTGCGAGTAGCTTAAGTTAGTTTGTGTTTTCAAATTCTTTATACATGTATCGCGGATGTTGTAACTCTGCTTTAACCATTTCTGCAAAAATGAAGCGCATATCACTTTACATGACATAACGTACTTTATTGTTTAGATTTTTACTTCTTTTGTTTTTTGGGTTTTTTTTCAAAGTCTCTATCCTCAAAAAATGTCATGGCCATTCATGAACAAACATAGGCCTCGTCTTTAAATGATTTCTTGATCCTCTAGTATTTTCAAAATGAAATCGCTACTCCATGCTTAGTTCCTTAGTGTCCTACAATGTCATCTTTTTTTCGGATGAGAAATGCCTTTATTCTGAAATTGATTTCTTTTCAAAGAAGCAATGCAATACATTACAACTTAAAGACAAGATTTTTTTAACAATGCTGACTTGGAACGGTTAAACGTTTTTCCTTTTATTTCCTTTTCAGGGATATGACTATAGAGACTTTTATTTAAGTTATTTGGATTTACTCTCAAAACATACCGACCAAATTCGGTTAAAATATGAGGTTGAATTTCAGAAACTTAAGACAGAAGTCTACGTATTTTTCAATGACCCTCCTATAATGAGAAATAGCATTTTTATAAAATCCTCTCAAATGAGGAAGAACTAAATTGAAGTTAGTATTAACCCATTAAGAATGCTTAAAATTGACTAAGATTATATAAAAGTAATACGTTTTTTATCTACTGTATACTAAGCGCTTATGAGGTTTTGAAGTTAGTCTTATATCAGCTTGTTAAAAATCTTCAGAGGAAGACACGTATAAAGCTGTTCTGTATCAAAAACTTTTTATTTATGTCTTTATTTAAATAAAGTTTTCATTGTCTTTTCTCCAATTGATGATTTTCATTCAATAGTAAATAAACTTAATATTTTATTTATATTCATTGCAGTTTTCAGATAATAGAGGGAAATAATGATAAAAACAGATTTGGTGTTGAAAATAATGCTTAAAACAGGAATGTTAACTATGGTGCGAGAGTATCGTAGACAGATAAATTTATTTCACAAATAAATTTCAGACTAATCAAATTAATTTGAAGACATCCTTGCTTTCAGTTCACAAAGCTGTATTGAAGTGTGATTACATTTCTGCTGTTGATTTATCTTTATCTTTTGTATTTATGCATTGTAATCAAGTGATTTAAAGAAATATGAAAGAAAGTTGCATTAGCACCTGTTTCATTCTATATAGGTAGAAAATTGTTTAAAAAATTTTCAAATAATTTTTGATCAATTTCTTAACTAAAACTAATAGATGTGTGTTCCATTGAAAGGTACGAAAAATCGACCACCAACGAAATGAGTTAATGAATAAATACAAAACGAAAATCTTGCGAAAAGATGTGAAAAGAGAAATGTAAAGTAATTCTTTTTTACCTAAAAGGACAATGATAACTTTCGAAAACTTCATGAAAAAATAACATAGATAATAACATTAAAAAACGATAAATTTGTTCTCAGCAAATGTTTCAAATAATCATGTTTTTTTCTTACAAATTTTTTTGGAGAACTTTACAGCCTCTACAGACTTTCCCTCTAAGATGATATTTATAAATTAAAATCTTATCTTTAAAACGATTATATTGTGTTTGCTCCGCTCCGTATTTGTATTGGTTCAATGGACTTTTGAGCTTGAGCTTGATTACTGTTCATTATCTCATTACTAGTATCTTACATACATACATCTATTTCTATTCGAAATGAGTCCAAACACATTAAACAAACAGGCTTTTTTCCCACCACGACATATATTTAACAAATGAATTTAATTTTTGAAGATTCATGAGGACATGAACTACGACGCTTCACGCCGGCATATTTCATGAAGCGCGTTAGCATTTCTTATATTTACATTATTTTTTCCACAATTTACGCAATTCAACTGTCATTTTTAAAGCAAAACAGTTTGCACTATAGTTTTGACGTCAAATACGGTATTCTGACGTAACAATGGAGATATTCATGCACATCCATGGTAGTTCATGAGAAAATGAACAGTCTTCTAATTTGCAAAGAATCTTAAGGAAAAATATTTGGAAATGTAAATATTTCGCTATATCGGTAAATCTACTATATCTGTGTTCATACTGGACGAGTTTTCCTGTACTTTAACATTTATCTGACTATCTTCACTATATATTTGTGACATTTTTTGCAAACGTTTATGAAATCATATTTAAAATTGAATATACATTTATACAGACTATCAATACATTCATTTCAAAAACAATTTAATTGTTTTATAAACATTATATTAATTTATAAAATATTTCATCAAAATCAGCATAAAATGTAGCTTATATGAAGAATTAGGACTGATAAAAGCTATTCAAATTTCACTCTTCGACCTTAAAAAATCGAAAAAAGCCTAATACATGTACGCATATGGAAGAAATGTTATATTTTCTGAAAAAGGGGACTTGTTATACTATTATTAAACACAACTTTGGCATCACTAAGCATTGACAAAATAAAGTCTTATTCAAAATTACAGGTTCCCCGATATAGATTTTTTTTCTTATTATTATAATAGTTTTTGGAAGTGCCCATCTTATAACTTCATCTGGAGATACACCATCAATTATTGCCTCCGATTTGACAATGCTGAATTTGTTAAAGAACTGCTTCAAATGGGAGCTTACCTAAATCGCAAAAAAATGACAAAAATGTTCCCCCTTATTTGTTTCCTCCAAAAATGATCCAAAAAATACAAAGAAAATTCTGCTGAAGGGAGTTTTGATAAACATACCGGCCGAAAATAAAGTCAGCCCTTTCTCAGTTGAGACAAGAGAGGGTTACATAGAAGCTGTCAAATTTCTTCTCAATAAAAATGGACATTCATTCACAAGATACGTCATTTCAAAGACCTGTATAATTGGTGGCTTTATCAGGTCATACGCAATGTTTAGAAATTTTGATTTAATGTCGGTCAAATGTTTACGACTGGAATGAAAAGCGTGAAAATCATATGTTTCTGACATGTCAAAGAGACCAATTTGAGATTATTGGGATAGATTAAGAGCTAGGTGTCGATAAAGAGAGGTCAACAGTCGACATAAAAAGGCGAATTGCTGCTGCAGCAATGTCAAACAACACTGATGTTGTCCGAGTGCTTCAACAAAAAGTCAATTCGGATCAACCAGTTGGCATATCAGCATAACATTATCCTCTGGCTTATGAAAATAAAGGGATGTTAACTTATTCCTTGAACACAATACCAATGTCAATGTACGAAATGCACAGGGAATGCCGATTTTTCAAACCGCTCTGTCAAGTAGAAATAAATAATATAAAATCTCTAAACTTCTTTAATATGATTGTGATTTTTCTGTAAAAAAAAATACACGAGGTGAAACAGCTTTATACATAATATCTAGAAGGGGAAATACAAATTTACTGGCATTCCTTTGACATGGGAAAGGAGGAACATTCAAAAATGAACAGAATATGTATGCAGAAGCAGCATTAAACCTGGCAGCCGCAATAAACATTTGTAAAATTGTTGAAATATTGATTGCTAGTGGATCTGATATGAATATATGTGATTATTTAAACATGTCATCTTTACACGGAGCGTCTAAGAAAGAACTTTTAACTACTGTTTCAACTTTGCTTGATTCTGGAACAACGTATGACATACTTTGCTTTGACCGTTCAATTTCACCTATGACTGCTGCAGCGAAAGCGTAAGAGGGTAAAGTGGAGATTTTGAATTTTTAAGCAGATAATAATCTCAAAGACAAGATAGAAAGAACAACTCTATGGCATGCGGCAGCTGATGGATAACTGATGTTGTTTCTATATTGTAACACAATGTAACCTAGATATTGATGTTAATATTTCTAATAAATATGGGAAGCAGCTGATGACAAAGACAAATGAATTTCCAAAAATAGTGAAAGGCACTACTTTCAGATGCAATTATGAACAGAATCAGACTGATAACAACACAATCTGTTATATATTCTTCCATCTGCGTAAGTGACAGGAAAAGGTACGTCTTAGGGAATGTTCCAC